GAGGAGCTGTTGACTCCCCCAAAGACAGGGAGGCCCTGCAGAGACACCTTGACAAATTAGAGGACCGGGCAGTTACCAACTGTACGAAGTTCAGCTAGGGAAAGTGCCGGATCCTGCACCTGGGACAGGGCAAACCTGGATGTACGGATAGACTGGGGAATGAGAGGCTGGAAAGCAGCACCTGGAAAGGGACCTGGGGGTCCTGGTTGATGGCCATTTGGATCAGAGTTAGCTGTGCTCTGGCAGCCAGGAGYGATCTCTGTGTCCTAGGGGGCATCTGGCCCAGCATCACCGGCTGGGCCAGGGAGAGGATCGTCCCACTCTGCTCTGGGCTGGGGCAGCCTCGTGAGTGCTGGGAGCACTTTGGGCACCACAATGTAAAAAAGAATGAAGCCATTGCAGAGCATCCAAAGGAGGACAATGAAGATGGAGAAGGGCCTTGAGGGAAAGCGGTGTGAGGAGCGGCTGAGGGCACTGGGTCTGTTCAGCTGGGGAAGAGAGGACTGAGGGGGGACCTCACTGCAGTTACAACTTCCTGGTGAGGGAAAGAGGGGCAAGCACTGATCTCTGCAGGGGTGGTCTGGAGGTTTAGATTGGACATCAGGGAAAGGTTCTTCCCCCAAAGGGTGCTGGGCACTGCCCAGGCTCCCCAGGGAACTGGCATAGCCCCGAGGCTGCCAGAGCTCCAGGAGCATTTGGACAGTGCTGCCAGGCCCAGGGTGGGATTGGTGGGGGATGTGTACAGGGCCAGGAGTTGGACTCTCCCGATGGGTCCCTTGCAGCCCAGGATATTCTGTGATTCTGTGAAATAAAGACAGAAAAAGGGGAGAGAGAGAACAGGAGCAAAGAATATTACCAGTCCTTAGATCCCGCCTTGTTCCTGGAGCTGAGCTTGTGAGACAAAGAAAGCAAAAGCAAAAGAGAGGAAAAATAGAACCAGGGGGCTCAATCCACTGCMTTTAATATTTAACCCAGTGCAGCCTCTCATGTAAATTCGATTTTTCATGCTGTTTTGTTCACGAATGCACAGCCATCCCTTTGAGCCCTCCTGGAGAGCAGGAACTGAGCGCTGGGTGGAGCAGGGAGTTGGCTCAGACCCATGGGACCCTCTCCTCTGATCTGTGGTGACAGTCGCAGTGTCTGAGACAAATCATGCCTATGCCTAGTTCTCACCAGGGGAGGACCTGGAGAGAAAAGGAGGCTCAGGGAGAACCTTCTGGCTCYCCACTGCTCCCTGACAGGAGGGGGCAACCAGGGGGGTCAGGCTCTGCTACCAGGGAACAGGGACAGGAAGAGAGAAAATGGCTTAAATTATACCGGGGGAGGTTCAGGTTGAATACTGGGAAAATTTCTCCCTGGAAAGGGTGGTCAGGCCCTGGCATAACTGCCCAGGGCAGAAGTGGAGTCATCAACCCTGGGGATGGTCAGGATATGGTTTAGTGTTGGCTTTGGCAGTGCTGGGTTAACAATTGGTCTCAATGGTATTAGAGGGCTTCACAGGCCAAAATGATTCCGTGATTCAGCGACTCTGGGTTGTGATTAGGATTACAGGTTTTGTAGAAAAGTGGAAAGATATTCACAAGCCTAAGTTTGGGCATAAGCAAATCCCCTTGATGAGCTGGTGGCCATGCAGTCCCCACAAGAGCAGGTACAGGCTCCCTCCTGGCCTGAAATGATGGGATGTTTCTCCAGACAACCTTCTGAYGCAGCCTAAGGCTTGGATCAATGTAGTATCATCTCAGAGCAGTGACGTGGACAGACACTGGCCAGCCATGGTGCCTTTGCCTGATGTCACATGCCAGACACTCTCCTCGAGTGTCCCCATTACAACTCCTTCTGCGTAAGCCCACCACTGGTTTCGTGGCAGATTTCAAAGTCGGCCTTAGTTTATAAAGAAATAGAAGTTCTAAAGATTATAATTTTTCGGGTCTATCAGATGAGGGCCTGAACCTCAGTGGCAATGTGTCTTGAGCCTCAAGCTGCACCAGGGGAGATTCAGGTTTAACATCAGGAGGAATTCCTCCAGAGAAAGGGTGGTCAGGCATTGGAAGGGATTGCCCAGGGAGGTTTGGAGTCCTCTTTGCTAGAGATGTCCTGGGAAGGCCTGGACATGTCATTCAGTGTGGCTGAAAGTGTCAGTCAACCAGTCACAGGGGAGGGTTGATGGTCTTTGGGGGCTTTTCCAACCTGAATGATTCCAGGATTCTGTGAATAACTTTATAACTCAACGCTATGCCTGGATCATGCCATACWCATGGATCGGGTGTAAATTATCATAGTGAGGAGGAAGACCTTGGAGAGAGTCAATGGGTGACTCTGCTCTCCTTCCTCCCAGATGGGGATGTCTTCTTGGTAACATTTTGCATACAATTATTAGTGTTAGCACTACATGATCATGATGATGTTCATCATCATCATCATCACTCAATTGGCCCTAGTGCATTTATCAATGGCAATTACAAACCTGTGTTTCTGTTGTTTCAGTAATTCCCACTGTTTGTGAATTTGTGATTATGAAAATCCTCATTGAACAGGATCAGACTTGTGCTGACCAATTGGCTATGATCAGAAATTCAGCCCAGCTGTCCCCAGCTCCTCTGAGGACCCGTTGGGACACRTGGGGATTATTTTCTGCCAGATTTCTATAATCTTCACATGGCACCAATAATTGTCATGGCCAACCACTTGAGGCTGGAAAAATTAATTTAGTTTATTGCAAATTAAAATAAGTTTGGATGGTGAGAAACAAAAATAAGATTTAAAACACTTTTTTTTCCTAGTCTCARCTTCACATCCCCAACTCTCTCTTTCCCTCCACCCTGGGCAGTACAGGGGGGATGGAGAATGGGGAATGGAGCATGGGGCATGTGCCAGTCCAGAAAATCTCCTCTTTGCTACTCCTTTGTCTTTGTACTTCTGCTCCAGTGCAGGTCCTTCATGGGATGGATGTGGTTTCCTCACAACATGTCCACCTGCTCCTCCACCCCTCCACCCCTTTGTTACCACAATCTGGACATTCACAAATCTGGAGAGTTTTGATTCCTTCTCTTGCTTGGGGTGGAGAGGGGTAACGGATTCATTGGTGGTGGAGTCATCATCCAGGCACATGTTCAAGGAATGACTGCGCGTGGCTCTCAGTGCTCTGGTCCAGTTGGTCACAGGCTGGACTTGCTGGTCTTTTTCAGCCTAAACTGGGATTCTRTGATCTTGGTCAAGGAGCAAGAGAGAGAGAGAGGACAGAATATGAAAGGTCTTTCAGGAACAACATGAAAATCAGTGACAAGAATCTCTCAAGCAGTTTTGTAACACCTCAGAATCCCAGAATCCCAGCATGGTTTGGATTGGGGGAGACGTTAAAGCTCAGCCAGTTATACCCCGTGCCATGGGCAGGGACACTTTCCACTAGTCTGGGTTGTTCCAATCCATGTCCAGCCTGGCCTATCTTCATGGATAATGTGACATCGAGGACCATGTTTGGCTACACTGGTGATTGTCACTGTGCTGGCTGTGGGCTGGGGAAGCAGCTGAAGCTCTGGGAAGTTGGGGTTTGGGCTGACATGGTCCTGGTTTTTCATCTGAGCCACAGGGGCACATCCCTGCCAAAAAGGGAGAATGAGAATGTGACACAGATGGAGCGACACAGCTTCTCAAGTTGTTCCTCCACATGTGGAGAGCAGCCAAATGTGTCCCCTGCATTTTGTGTCACTTTAGCAATTTATAATTGGTGAAAGCAAAATTTAAATAGGTGATTTTGAAACAATTCCCTGCCATGGAATAGGGACAATTTGATACTGCAAACCATGGAATTGTTGAAGTTGGAAAAGCCCTCCAGGATCATTGAATTCAACCTATGATCAATCCCCACTTTGTCACCCAGACATGTTTCACATATTATAGATATATAGTATCAATCACATCAAATCATATCATTATAAAATACAATCTTTCTATGATATATGAACACCTTTTATATATGTATTTATAYCCTTGTATACACACACATTCATGTCTGTAGCTCTATGTGTTTATACAGCCTCAGACACCTTTTTATCCTAATGTTGCACCATACACACTTGACATTGACATTTAATATGATTTGTGTTATTTTCACTCTCTCACCATTTCATAAACACACACATACACACATATATACTTTACACACACTCTCATTTATACTCTAATACTAGAACATTATATACATATACATATATATATATATATATATGTATGTATGCACCGCAGCCTCACAGTCTTGAATGTACACATGTATATTTGCAGTCTGCGCAGGCTCAGATACCCCTTTCATAGCCTCTATATAATACAACAGCAAAATATATAAACTCGTAATAGTTATGAAATTTTATTATTATTATGTCATTATTGATGACTTTTATTTCAATTTATTATTTTACCTCAATTAATTATAATTATACAACTGTACAATTACAATATTGTGATACATTTTATGTAATTTATTTTATACATTCCACATATATTATACATAAAGCTCACTGATAACGGTATTTCTCACGTGTGTATGTGTCCACCCCACTCTCTCTAACAGACACCTCTTCTTGCATCCATGATAAATATATTTGCATACTCAAATCACCTATTTAAATATCCGCCTGCCCTCAGTGCTGCTGTCCCGCGGCCAGCCCGTGGTTCATACCCAAACGAGCAGGCGGTGGTCCCGGTGCCGGTGAGCGATACAGAACCCCCGGCCCCGCCCGGCCCCGCCCGTTTCCGCCCATTTCCGCCCATTTCCGCCCATTTCCGTTCGATTCCGTCCATTTCCGCCCATTTCCGTCCATTTCCGCCCGGCCCCTCCCGGCCTCGCCCGTTTCCGCTCGTTTCCGCCTGGCCCCGCCCCGCCCGTTTCCGCCGGCACCGGAAGCGCCGATCTCGCGGTGCCGCTCGCGGCCGCCGGGCGGTGCCTCCTACCGGAAGCGGCATCCCGGAAGCCGCGGCGGCAGGGGCGGGGCGCGGCGGAAGTGACGCGCAGGCGGAGCCGCGGCGGGGCCGCCCCGCCATGTTCCGGAGCCCCGAGCAGCGGCAGCAGTTGTGAGTACGGGCGGGCCCGGGGGTTCGGCCGCGCAGGGACGCCCCGCCAGGTATGGTCCCGCCGCCCCCCGCCACGCCGGGGCTCGCGGCCGGAAACGGGGGGCCGGGGGCGGCGGCGACCCCGGCGGGATGGGCGGGGGCGGCGGGAAGAGCGTCGCCCTATCGTTCCATTCTCTTTATTTCCATTCCTTTTTTATGCCTTCCTCCCTCCCTCCCTCCCTCTCTCTCCCTCCCTCCCTCTCTCTCCCTCTCTTCCCGGGGCTGGGGGCGGTTCCAGCCCCGCCTCACGTGCGGTGCCGTTCCCAGCTTGACGCCAGTTGTGTTTCGGTTGTTTTGCCGTCGGGGGCTGTTGCTGTTTGTTGTCACTGCGGCCACAACCGGGTGAGGCAGCCAGGAAGTGGGGAGTGGGGATGTGAGCTAGAGGAATTGAACCTTTCACAGTCATGGAATTCTTTTGGTTGGAAAAACGCGTAAAGATCAAGAGTCCARCCATTGCCCCAGCAGGGCCACGATCACCACTAACCCATGTCCCCAAGTGCATCGTCCACTCGTTTTTTGAACACTTCCACAGATGGTGACTCCACCTTTGCCCTGGGTAGGTCTTGATAGTGCTTGGCTACCCTTTCCATCAAGAAATTTTCCCCAGTATCCCATCTGACCCTTCCCTGTCTCACCTTGACACCATTTCCTCCTGTCTCTGTTCCCTGGGAGCAGAGCCCAAACTCCCYGGCTGCCCCCTCCTGTCAGGGAGTTGTGCAGAGCCACAAGGTCCCCCCAGAAATCCTAGAAAGCCCTTGGACATCTTCCCTGAGCTTGCCTGGGGATGCCACCAGCTCTGTTGGGTGATGCTGAAGCTCCTGCACCTCATGGACTGACCATGTTTCACCAATTCTCACATAGCTTGTGAAAGGTGGGACCAGAATGACAGTTCAACCTGATTGAATTACCCTGCTACTCACTGGGGAAAGGCCAAGGGCTATGGCAAAGAACTGCCACCTTGARAAGGGTCAGACTTTGAGAATCACAGAATYGTWKAGTTTGGAAAAGCCCTCTCAGTTCCCCGAGCACTTTCAAGGCCACCACTAACCCATGCACCCAAGTGTCCCATTCACATGCTTTTTTAATCCCTCCAGTAGTGATTACACCACTGCCCTGGGCAGCCTGTGCCAGGGCCTGACCACTCTTTCCAGGAAGAAATTTTCCCCAGTATCCAACCTGARCCTCCCCTGGCACAGCTTGAGGCTCTTGTGCTGTCCCTGTTCCCTGGGAGTAGAGCCCAACCCCCCGGCTGCCCGTCCTGTCAGGAGTTGTGCAGAGCCACAAGGTCTCCCCTGATCCCCCTTTGCTCCAGGATGAGCCTCTTTCCCATCTCCCTCAGTTGCTCCTGGTGCTCCAGACCCTTCCCCAGCACTGTCCTCATTCCTTGGCTCTCTAGATCAGTCTTACTGATTGGGTCCCACATTACAATCACACCATGTAGACGTGGCTGTGCTGGGTGATCCTGACTGGAATCATTCCAGGGGAGTTTTCCAGGCTGCCCAGCTCTCTGTGTTTCCATTCCTGCTTTAGGTTGGGAAGCTCAGCAGGACCAGCAGCTTGAGAGGTGCTTTGGCTCTCAGTGCCTTTCCTTGTCTCTCAGGAGTTCTCGGGGTGCTTTGGGTGTTCAGGGATGAGTTTGGGGTGATTTCTGAATCCCAGGGCTGCCGTGGGATCCACATTGGGTGGATCCACATTGGGTGGGTCTCAGATTCTACCAGAGGTTTTGTGCCTGGAGGAGGATCCGCTCAAGGATCAGGAGAGCTGTGGTTCATGACAGAACACCGAGAGAGGGTTTCCTGGCAGTTTGCAGAGCCACAATTATCTGTACTCCAGGGACTATTCCAGTGATGAAAGAGTTTCCAGAAACAATTACTGTCAAATGGAAAGTGTTTTTTCTGCCATTATTGAAAGCTTCTGGTTTAGGATAAAACCTCAGGTCATTAGAGATGGCTTGAACTGAAATTCAGGTCAGGATTGCTGCAAATTCAATATCAATTTCCTGATTTTCTTTAGATGATGATAATTATAGTAATGATGATTATTCTATATTGTTTAGTTATATACTACTATATACTTCCTATTATTGCTATTATTATTTCATTACGATTTTCAGCTAATACATGGAATGAATATATAAAATAAGTATATATATGTATAAAGCTATTACATAATAGCAATAATAGTAAGTATCTGTGTAAAGCTATATAAAATATATATATATAAACTTCAATCAGTTAATTTTACTTTGTCCCTAGGTGAACATTTCCAGTTGACAATATATGGTTATTTTGCCACCTCCTGGATCCAGCTGAAACCATTGAAATTAATTCTGTTGGTTCCCTGGAGTGGCTCATAGTCCGTCAGTATTCATTCTCATTTGTGAATGAAAGTTTGCCTAAAGGAACAGTTGGGAGTGAAGGCAGATGGAAAAGTAGCTAATTTCTTCCAAGGGGCATCATTCCTTCTGACAACTTTGCTGGAAAATTGAGCCAGTCTGTCTTTTTGATCTCCATTGATGTGTTTTTTTTTATGGCACAGTCAGGATTTCTGTGGGAATCACATGCTGGTGGTTGCACTGGATTTGGTGAATGAATTTATTTGGCAGAAATAAATGGTTCCTATTTCCTAAAAATATTCCATGAGTGCTTTGTTAATGCAAATATGAGGGACTAAAGACGATCATTTAAATACTCAGGATATTGTGGTTTGTGCTGTTTACTGAGAGTAATGAGCAGAGAGAGAAGTTTAGACAGTAAAACTGCTGTGTCTGATCAAGAAAACAGGAATTCTGTTTAACTGAAGAAAATGTAGATTATCGTTGTTTTTCTTCTTTTTTGTTTTGTCTTGAAATAAGTAAGTAAAGAAATAAATCTCCCAGTTTTGTTCTGTTCTCTCTGCTTTCCTGGCTTCTGTAATGCCACATCCATGGGGAGATGTTGATGTTGCTGCACACAGACTGTTCACCTAAAGAAATAATCTCCTTTTTGGGTCAAAAAAATGTCATCTGGTTGACATATTCCTCTGTGAATGTCACAGAATTTTATTTGATTGTTTTTATTTAATTTGATTATTTCTCTGGTGATGTTAAATAAGATTTCTACAAGTCCACCATTTTTTTGTTCTTTGATGAACTTGTTTCCCTCAAATTTTGTTCATGGACCTGCCTTAGGCCTTCCTAAAGTATCGTATCAACACAATTATTTCTGAGTGTATGAGATTTGAGGAGGTTTATTCTTATGGGGTGGGGAAGTGAAGGTGGATGAAGAGGAGAGAGAAAACTCTACTTCAATAACTATGGGAGAAATCCCCAAGCACAACTTGGCATGATACAGGTTTCCTGGGTTTTTTTTGTTTTTTTTTTTTTTTCTTTGGGAAAAGAAATGAACCAGTTCTTTAACGAAATTTATTTGACACCCTAAGAAGGGGATACTAAAGGAGGTTTTTTTTTTTCATTCTGCTTGAGGGATTCTTAAAGATTCATTAGTTCAAAGAAATAGTGGCCTGAAGATTGAAGTAAAATAACTTCTAAATCTCCTCTTCATCACTCAAAAATGTAGGGGGACAGTGCTTTATTTTATTCTGGTAACATGAAACTTCATCGTGGTTATTTTTTTGTATCACCTGCAAAAACGTTTATAATGTGAGATCGTTACACTGAAGCATTTTCAACTTGGAGAGCTGTAAACATTTTGCAATTACCCTTTTTCTTCTCTGTCGTAGATGTTTGAGTAAATCTGTGTGATTTCCACTTCTTGGTATCTCATTGAACTTTTGCTTTCCTTCTCCTTTGCCTGTCCTTTGGCTTTTTGTAAATACCTGATACTTACTTCAAATTAAAGAATGTTATTTCACAGACAATTATGCTTTTGGGGTATCTTGCTCTGTTTTCATGGAGATAAAAAGCTACTGTTGCCTTCTGTAATCATGGAAAGCAGAATGATCTGAAGTTCAGGATAATGAGACCTTTTGCAGGTGCTTTTCCCCTCAATTTACTTATAAGTTCTTGTTTGTAGCACAGTCAAAACCAGTTTTTAAGTCTGTTGAGCTGGAGGTGAATGGTGACTCCAGGTGGGAACGAGGAGGTGAGCGCTAGAAACTGGCAGAGGAAAATATTGATGCAAATACATCTTCAGCTCATCTCTCCTTGTTTTTCTTGCTTCATCTCCCTCTGATCTGCTCCCCCTCCTCTTGCCCAAAAGTTAGAGTTGTCCCCTTGCTTTGACAGGTGGAGGAATGAGCCTCTTCAGAGGTTTCTTCTGCCCCTTGGTGCCAATTTGCAGCTCTAGTTAGTTGGGGTGCAGGTAAGTGTCTGTTTCTCTGTTCAGCTGTTCCATGTTTGTGGGACTTGCTGAAAAATTCCTTCTGAATTTGCTTTTGCTTCTTATATGTAGAAGCAGTTGAGGCTGTAGATCATGGAATTATTAAAGAACATTGAGAGATGGAAAGCAGAGAATGGATACAAAGTGTTCAGGGGCTGCTGCTGTTCCTTGTTTGCATTATGAGTGGTGCCGGGAGATTCCAAAGTGCTCCAAAACTCTTTTTTCTCTGCTGTAATTATATTCAAACACACAAATATTTCTCCTTACTCTTGGTTTGAGCAAAACTGTTTTCTGTCAGACTGTTGCCTGTCAATGCTCGTCCTTCTCAACTCTCATTTCTGATTCCAAAACATTCAACTCCATTTTGCTAAGCACACCAGTGACAGCTTCCATTAGGAACCATGTGAAATATTGCCCATATTTTAATTTTCAGTATGTTAAAAACAAAAGTACTGCAGAATTTCTTGCTCACTGCATTGATACCTCATGTAAAAATCTCATTTTTGACACATTGTACCCAGAAATGAGGCATCATACCAAACTGGGTGTGGGAGTTATTTCCAAGGTCACAATGAGAAAAGCTCTGCATGTCTGATGCCTTTGTGTGTTGGGCAGATGATAGTGGGGTGTTCGTGTCAGTCCCCAGGGGAATGTGATCCCCAGCAGGAGCTGCCCAGCTCTGGGACTGAAGAGCATTCCTGTGACTTCCCACTTGATGGGAAAAGGCAGAAGTTGGCTGACTCCTGAGCAGTGGTGGAATGCAGGACTGAGCTCTTGCAGACATTGCTCCAAGCTGAGTCAGAAGGCCAAAAACACAGAAAAAAATGCCCATTTCAAACTACCTGACAGAAAGCAGAACACAGCAGTTATGTCATCAGGATGGGACTGGGAACTAATCCCATGTCTGTGTTCTCAAGGCATCTGTTGACGTAGGAAGTCAGTGGGATGCTCTTGGTGACTTCAGGTGGAGTTGGCAGCTTTGCCTTTTAATTGTTCTGGATCTGCTGTCAGGAAATAACTTGCAGAGGTTTGGTCTCCTTCCCAGCAAACAGAGGACAGCTCTGTTTGCCCGCACGTGTCTCTGCCGTGCTTTGGGCAGTAGATTGTTCTACTCAGAGTCCAGGAGTTCTTTGCAGAAAAGTCTGCATCAGGCAAACTCTCCTGGAGTGGGAAAGGTTCTCTGTCTTGCCATGGACTCAAAAAATCTTGGCATTTAGAGCAGTCACCACTAACACGTGTTTTAACAAGGTCTGTCTGTTGGTGAGTTCTTACCTTTACCTGCAAGAAATCTGTTTTCTCTCCAGATGTCCTTGGTGCTGTTTCCATGTGTTCCTCCTTGGTTTTGAAGCCTTTTCTTTCCTACTTAGACTTCTGTTCTCAAAAATATTTATAACCCAATAGCATTTGATGGTTTTCCATCTCTTTGAGGATGTATCAGCTCTGTCTGTATCTATCTCAAGAATGGCCAGACAGGTGCAACAGAGCCACAGAAACCACCTGTTCCTTTGTTCCGTAAATTAAATGCATCCTGCTTCCAAATTTCTTTATTGTAGCTGAAATAAATTCTGCTTCATCTTGCACTGCAACTACTCTGCCAGTATTTTCCTGAAATTCATAATTCATAGCATTCAGGAGGGGTATATATAATAACAGGGAGATGGGAAGGGGAAAAATAAGACTTCTTTGGGAAACTGGGAGTAAGTGGTTTCATTTTCAGAATGAAAGGCCTTGTGAGGGGAAGAGGAGGGTAATGTGAGTGTTTTCTGGGGTCTTTTAACTTATTTTTGATCTGAAAAAGACACCATTTCTTGCTACTCTGGGATGTAGAAGTTGGCACTATTTTCAGACAGTCTGTGATGGTCTGAAATACAAACCTGGGTAGGTTAGTAGGAAGCTCCTGAAGATTAGTTCAGGCATTTTCCAGGAGTTAATCTGCTTCAGCCCTGGGTGTAGAGTTCACTGTTACTCGTGAATTAAAGTACCTATGCTTGTTCACTTACACTACTTTTCATTTTTCTCTCTTTTCCCTTTTCTTTGTTAAGCATTGCAGGCTGTATGTACCGAGTCGTTCAGACAACAGGACCAGATGGAAAAAACCTTCTGAAATTGCTTCCCATTTCTAAACCTTCTGGAAGTTTTGTGCCAATAGTTCAGTCTCCAGCAATGCCAAATAATTCTAATGCAAACATTCCTAGCCCAGTCCATCTTACTTTTAAGACACAGCTTGGCAATACCACTGTACCTTCATCTGTTAAGATACCTGTTTTCCAGCCTCCTAATCCTGGAAACATTATTCTTACAAGGACATTAGACAAGCAGGAAAGTGTTAGGACAGGTTCTGAAAAAGAAAGCTTGATTCCAAGTGCAACTGTCGATGCTGAGAGCAGCTGCATGTCCATGGATGGACTGTCTTTGCAGAACGTGGCCATTACAAGCTCCTCTCAGCCAAGCAGCACAACCTACATGATGATGAACACCAAACCCCTCCCAATGACAATCAAGTCTCCAGTGCTGCCTTCTGGACACCACCTCCAGATTCCAGCTGATGCAGAAGTGAGATCTGTCCCAGTGTCTCTTTTGCCACCTTCAATACAGCAAAAAATCCTGGCAGCTACAGCCACCAATGCGTCTGGAGGGGCTGACGGTATGAAACCGCCGATGGTGATTTACGTGTCACCTGTGAACACAGTGAAAACCTCCCAAGTCCTGCCAAAGCGCTTACAGAGCTTTTGCCCCAATCCTGCCACAGAAGTTTCAGAGACACTGATAGTGACAGCTGCCCAAAAGGGATCTGGTTCTTCTGCTGAGCCAGTCACATCTGAGGGGCAGCAGTGCCAGCAAACTCCCATGAAATGGATTGTGCAAGAAACTGCCCCGCTCTCAGCAGCTTGTCTTATCCCTGTAAAGTCTTCGAACAATGTGGCTTCCAAGATCCTGAAAGCTTTGTCAGACACGAAAAATGTAGAAGTTAATCCTGCAAATATTTTACCRCTCTGTTCTAATGGTCCTGGTGGAAGCCAAACCAAAATCACACCTTTAAAAGATAATGCTCTGGTCATGTACAATGGGAAAGTCTATTTGTTGACCAAAAGAGGCTCTGATGTTCTGTCAGCCCAGGCTGACAAACAAACATCTTCCTCTTCTGATGCTTCACTTATAAAGGAGACATCCAAGCAAATGGATTGTACTGAAGTCAATAAARTAACAAGTAAAGTGGTGAATGTGGTGTTTTCAAAAAGCGAAGGAGTGGTGCTGTCTGAGGAAGACGCAAAACCATGTGCARTCTCCAAAAATTCATCACCAACTGGCTTAAGAAGTCAATTAAAATCCACACCTGCAGCTCTGGTGACACCAAGTGCTAATCAGCAGGATCTCACTGTAATCCAGAGACAGAGTTTGCCCTTCACTGAGAGCGTTTTTTGCAATGGAGTGATCCCAGTTCCAKCAGTAGGCATGCAGGACAGTGTGTGGCAAGGTGACAAAGATACGAGCCATTCCCCCAGAGCAGCAGGAGCTGTGTTACCTCAGGCTAAGCAGGAATTTGCTGTCAGTGAAGACTGGCCAAAGGTAATAAATCATAAACATGCCACCTCAGTGTCTGGTAGTGGTTCTATGGGCCTCATTTTATGTGGATAAAATGGCTCTTGATGAGTTCATGCATTTTTGTAACAGGTATCCTGGAAATGATGCTCTAAGGTTGCTCTTAGTCAGTAAATGGCCTTTTCCCCAATAATTTTGCACTGTGCAAGTGAGAAAAGCATAGAAAAGAAAGGGGCAGAGGAAAGATGCTTTTGATTTCCTCCTGAAATWAATGATCAGCAGTAACTGAACTCCAGGGAGGCTGTTCATGGTTTCGGCTCTTGGATATTGATGCCACATGTTCACAGCACAACCTTTAGGCTGTAGGGGTGATACAAGGTAGAGAAAGACAAGTTTGCAGCATCAGAAGAGGAAAACAAGTTGGAAGAGCAGAGTTCATCCTCCAGAGACAGCTTTGGTGTGGCACTGTCAGCTCCATTCTCTGCTCMCTCTCACAGCCTCAAGCAGGAGCTGCATTTCCTTCCTCCCCTGCCCTGGTGGGGAGGGATCGAAATCCTTCACTCCTGGGTCCACATCAGACAGAAAGAACTCTTGAAATCCTTAATGGCTGCACTGACTTATTCTTTTAAGATCATAATATTAAAATTACATTTAAATTTGCAAGCCTCCAGTCCCACAAACCCCCCATGCAGGATTGGGGGGTCATGTTTTTAATTGCTCCAGAGGCCAGGATGAATTTGCCTCCAGAGAAAAGAACCATTCTGAAAATCGCTTGTGTTGTGCAGGCAGAACAGAAATGTCAGCTGAGTGTATTTTTGCAAATTTTAGGCAATTGGTGCAACAGACTGTAAGACCTTTATTTTCTTCAGTGCTGYGTGATGCTGAGTGTCAGCATTTGCATTTGTTTTGACTTTGGTGAGAAGTAGCAAATTTGGTGCTCTTGTCCCTAAATTTACAAACCTCTGGATTGCAGAGTAAAGACACTGCCTGCTCTTCCCTCCTCTTCCTTTGGCACTTTAAAGGGGCAGAACAGGTGATTTTCTTGTTGCTTCTTTTATTTCTGTGGTTGCTGGTTGGCCTGGAATTTTTCTGGATGTTCCACAATGTACTTGGGGTGTTATATAACAACTGTTGACCTATGATAATTTGTATGTAATTTGTCAAAATGGGCTTACCTGTGTTAAATGTTACCTGTGTTAAATGTAGCTCTTGGAGAATGGCAGACAAAACAAATGTTCATCTCTCTTTCTAGTACCTATTTTCAAAATAATATATTTTATCTATTCATATGTAAAGAGAGAGTGAGAGAGTGATTGATGGCTCTCTCACTGTTTCTSTATTTCAGATCCAGTGTGAAAAGATGGATTCACCGAAAAAGGTTATTCAAGTGAAGTACTCAGAGCAGCCACACTGGAAACAATACTTGGAATTAAGGAAGAAATTTGGTCTCTTTAAGAAGGAGATTGTTTACCTTACGAGAATACCATTAAGGGCCTCCTGTGAGAAACCAGAAGAAACAGTTTGTTCCAGTGACAACTTGGTAAGGCAAAATGATTCTTGCAGTTCATCCTCATTGGATGGATACTTCTGCAAGGAAGAACTTCCATGTGAATGCATGGAAAGGATTTTAACCATCCAAGTATTTCCATTCTGCYACATTTTTGTGTGGTTCTACTCAACTCAGTCAAAGGCTTTCTCAGTTTTTTCTAATTCTGTACTAATAATTGAGCAGATCCATGGCTGCTCTTAATATTAAGATTAACCCATCCCTTAGAAGTGTCCAGGGCCGGGTTGGATGGGGCTTGGAGCAACCTGGGATAGTGGAAGGTGTCCCTGCCCATGGCAGGGTGGGGAATGGGATGGGCTTTATGGTCCTTCCAGCTCAAACCACGATGTGATTCCATGATTGAAATGCTAAACCATCTGGGAGGAATGTAGTCTGAGAATGAACATTATTGGCATGCTTAGAGGAATTTAGTCTGATAATGGACATTATTCCTCAGACTGAGGTTTTGGGAATGCTGACGTGAAGCATTCTTCTGCACTTTGAATTTTCCCATCAAATTAGAAAGTTTTTGTCTTGCAGTAGTGTTAAAGAGCTTAAACAGCCATAGGAGATGATGAGCAAGTCCAGGAAAGGCAGACATCCAGTGTTGATTAAGGAAGGAATTCAGTGTTCTGGAATTGTTAGCTGGGAATCTTTGCTAGAAAATTATCAAAAGCAGAAATATGCTTGTTCTTTTGCTAAAAAAACCTTCTKGACAGTAATTCTAAAAAGCTTTTGATAAAAGCTTTATGCTTAGAGAATTTGGTGTTAAAAAATAGCTGATTCCCACTTTAGCAGAAGTGAATTTTGTCTGTTTCTGACTGTGCAGATAATGGTGGATACGGAAGAGGATTTGACTAGGAAAAGGAGAACAAAATCCTCACCATTGTCAGACAGTGGCAAGAGAAGGAGAACTTCGATCAAATCAGCCACAAGTCCCAGTTTAGAAATCACCAGCTTGAGTTCCAGTGCATTTAACAGGAGTGTTTCACCTCCACCAACCTCACCACAGCCAAGTGTTCCCACTGGCTCTGCTGGAGTGTCCCAAGGGAGGGACTCAGAGCTGGACACGGTCCCCTCGTACAGTGATGCTACCCACCCAAGGATTTCAGGTTTAATGACTTCTGAAGAGGATAATTCAGTTCTGGAAGGTTCTTTCCGAGATGATGCTTTCCCTGTGGCTCCCCCGGACCTGGATGAGACAGTACGGGATGAAAAAATCAGGAGACTGAAGCAGCTCCTGCGGGAGCGGGAGGCAGCACTGGAGGCAATGCGCCGGGAGATGCAGCAGAGCTGAAATGCCTGCCCTGGGGATCCCTCGTGCATCGCTTYTTCAGTGACTTCAAGAGGAAATCCCTTGTTTAAAAGGATATTTCTGGTAGATGGAGGAACTTGATGAAATTTGTGTGTATTTACAGAATTGTAGTTTTTTGTTAAATGCCAGAAATAAGAGACTTGGACCATCAAATTCTGCTTCTGGGATATGATCCAAGAGCACTGACAGGGCATTTTTACCAGCRTTATTTCCCATATTTTGAATCAAGGGGGTTCTGTATTAGTGCTAGCAAAGAAACTTTCCCCTTTTGCATTCCATGACCTGGCTCATAGAACTCAAATGCAAATTGCAAACCCCAGTTGTAGATACGTTTTTGTTTATTTTCATGTGCATGAGAACTTTGAGAAATTCCTGAGAACTGTCAATTTTCAGAAGAGGTCAATAGTCAGTGGTTAATAAATGCTATTTAAAGGATCTTGGACTTAGACTTTAGGCAGTAACAATGCAGATATTTATACAAAACATCTTGCAGATGTGAAGACAGAGTCAGGAGGAGCCCTGTGACAGTTGTTTGGATTCATGGCTCTCCCTGTCATTATTGTGAGCCTTTATAAGGCCATGGCCAGCTGYACAATGTGGAAAATTGGTGGTGGGGTTGTTTTGGAAGGGTGGGATGTATTTTTTAAAAAAGAACTCTGTTAATAATAATTTCTTGAAGCTAAAAGATTTCTTTATCCCTGAGTGGTATCTTTAACAGTCCTCAGTGAGTTGTGTGAACATGTTTGTTGTTGTTTGAACATGTCTTTGAACATGTTTGCTGCTTGAACATGTCTCTTGCCACCTTCAGTTTATGGTACTTTAGTTTGTCTTGTAGGAGGGCATGTGCCCTCAKATTGTCTTTACATCCTAATTTTTATAGGACTTCGTGTGTGTTTTCATACATGCTCTACTGTATGTGTAGGGACACCTCTCCTTGTCCTCTGTTGTCCACATCTTTGATCCTTCCAGGTTCCTTGTGCTGTTTTCAGTTTCCCTGCCACCAATTAATAACTGTTTTTGCCAGCAGAAYTTGTCATTGTTTTGTTCTTGTCTATTTATGTTCATATTAAACATCACCAATCCCTGTAGAGCTCCTCTGTGGATTCTCTTCATGGGAGACTTATTCTTATTTTGTTTTACTTTAATCAAATTTTTATCTGCAGGAATGCAGATTATCATTTTYATTTATTATCCCATGGATGCCCACTTTATCTACAGGGTTTTGGKGGCCTGGAGAGTTTAGACTCTCTCAGCCCCATATTCCTGATTTATATAGGTTTTGACACTGAAAAATTCCAGTGGATTGGAGAGGCAGGAGAGGTTTTTTCAAGGGAAGAAAAAGTTAGTTCCTCCTCYGAAGAATCACAGAATCAGAGAAGAGTTTGGGGTGTAATGGACCTTAAAGCTCATCTCCTTCTACCCCCTGCCATGGGTGGGGATACCTTCTGCTATCCCAGGTTGCTCCAAGCCTTGTTCAGCCTGGCCTTAGATGCTTCCAGGAACAGCAAGAGCTTGGGCTAGACCGAGGTGATGGACCAGACACGCAATGGTGGGTGAAGAAGGAAGGTGAATAATGGAAATAAACTGCAATGATTAAGATTGCTCGGTAGGAGGGAAATATRGCGGAGCAATCATGGCGGTACTGTGGGCATTTGTGGGCTCACTGTGTATGGAATGGGTGTTTTGGGACWGAATTGACCTTAGCCAGCTCCTAGTCATCCACCTGCTCACTTGCTCTCCTCTTGCAGGATGGGGAAAAAGGAAAGATGGAGTTGTGGGTGGGGATAAAGGCAGTTTAACAGATCAAGCAAAAGTTGAAAAGGCAAAATCAGGAGTTCAGTCACCACGTCCTGTYGGCAGGCAGAAGATGAGCTGTTTCAGGAGTCTCCATGTGCACAGTATTCACTTGGAAGACAAACACAGTTACCAGAAACGTCCTTCCATTCTCCTTTCATAAAGCTTTTATTTGCTGAGCATGGCCTCCTGGGGCATGGAATAACCCTTTGATCAGTCTGGGAAGACTGTCCTGGCTGCGTCTGTTTCCAGCTTCTTGTCCATCCCCAACTTCCTGTCCATCCCAAGCCTGCTGGGAGGTACACAGTGAGAGGAGAAAACCTGAATGTYGTGGGAGCTCTGCTCAAAACGGGCTGTGATCAGCAGTCTCCTCAAAATGCCAAGGCCATGGAATTCAAAATCCCATGGCATGACGTGGGGCTGCTGTGAAGGACGTTGACTCCATCCCACCTGGAAGAATGAGGTGGGAATCTGAAGGAGGTGGAGGCAGCCTTGTGTTGTGTCTGGTGCTGCAGTCATCTGGTAGATACTCTTCCAACAGGCTTTGCTCTCAATGTTGTCTTACATAGGTCTTTCCTCTGTTTTCCAATGATCTCCAAAAAAAATTGTGAAGCCAAATTCTCTTATCCTCATTTCACTGAYGTTCTGCAATGTGCCATCTTTTTCTCCCAGAACCTCTTTTACCATAACAAAGTAGTCCACTTGCCTGAGTTTTTCATAGAAATGATAAAATACTGAAAACTAAGAGAAGAGTCCTCACTGCAAAATTTGAAGAAATGTGACCAGGATTTGGTGGAAGAAGGTAAATGGGCTGTGTCTGATGTAGTTGTGGAAAACACTTGGTGCAGTTCAGAAAAATAAAGTGAAGCCAAATATGGAAGAGAGAGCTTCCTTGGAACAGCATCAGTGCAAGGTTGGAAGGATCACTAAGAGCCAAGAGAAGCCTCCTGATGTGCCAGTGGGGGAAAGTTGTGCCAAGAGGAGCAAAGGGGCTTCTAACAGCCAGGGACCTGGATGGGGGCTGTTGGAGCTGTTCCTCATCCAGACTCGCCATCTGCAGCATGGATTGGATTTTTCTGCCCTGTTCTTTGAACTCCCACGATCTATGAAGAATCTGTGACAAGAACTAGAGCTCTGGGAACACTGGCTGTCATCCCAGGAATGAAGATGACTGGTGGCTATCCCTGGGTGCAGCCTGGGCTGGCAGGTAGGTGTCACACACTGGGATTGCTGTGCTAAGTGCATGTGAAATCCATGGATTTAGGATATGAAGTAGAGCTGTTACTTCAAGCAAATACCTGGGAAGAATCAGTGCTAGACCTTTTAAGAATTTCAGAGTCCAAAGAGCAGAAGTGATGGTGAGTGCTGGACAGAACAGATCAGATCAGGAAGCAAAGATGGTGCTGGGCAAGTTGCCAACATCAGCCAAACCTGGTGCCTTGGAGTCCCTCAACAGAACTGTCCCTGTGCCCTGTTTCCTGTATTGGAGACCCACTATAGCCCCAGCCCTTCTATGTGAGGCACAAACCTTCACAGAGGTCTGTCCTAGACATTCATGGAACCGTTGGATCATTTTGGTTGGAAAAGACCCTCAAGACTGTYAAGTCCAACGGTAAACTTGAGGTAGCCAAGCCCAGCGCTGACCCAGGCCTGATCATTGCTGGGTGCATGATCAGGTGCTTTTAGGGGGTCTGTACCAGGAACACCCATCAGGTGAGGCTCTGGGTAAACAATAGCAGTGTCATGTTCACAACCCTGCTCCTCATGGGGGACTTCAACTGCCCCAGTACCTCTTGGAGGGACAAGACAGTGCAGCCTAATCAGTCCAGGAGGTTCAGGAATCCATTGAGGCTAAACTTCTCCAAGTGGGAGAGAAGCCAGCAAGGAGAGGAGCTGTGCTGGTCCTTGTGTTCACCAGCAAGGAGGATCTGGTGGGGAATGAGAAGCTCAAGGGCAGCCTAGGCTGAGGGAACATGGAGTAGTGGAGATTGAATTTCTCAGGACAGCAAGGAGAGCACACAGTGAGGCCTGGGATTCAGGAGAGCAGTTTGTCTTTTCAGGGATCTGCTTGGTCAAGTCTCATGGGATAAAGCCCTGGAGGGAAGACGAGCCCAGGAGAGCTGGCTGATTAAGGATCACCTCCAAGCTCAGGAGCGACGCATCCCAAGGATGAGAAAGTTGGACAAAAACAGGCCTGTGAGAGTGAACAAGGAGCTCCTGGACAAACTCGAAGATTAAGCCTCCAGAGTGTAGAAGGAAGGACAGGCAGCCTGGGAGGAATACAGAGGGATTGTCTGAGCAGCCAGGGGTCAGGTTAAGAAACCTGATAGAGTTTAATCTGGCCAGGAACATCAAGGACAACAGAAAAGCTTCTACATTGTAGGTACATTGGAGATAAAAGGAACACTGGGGAAAATGTGGGCCCTCTCCAGGAAGAAATGGGACACTTGGTTCCCCAGGACATGGAGAAGGCTGAGGTTATCAATGACGTTTGTGCCTCAGTCTTCAGCAGGAAGTGCTCCAGTCACACCATTGGAATTGTAGGGGCAAAGGCAGGGACTGGGAGAAGGAAGAGCCATCTGCAGTAGGAAAATCACAGAATCCCAGAATCTTTAAGGTGGGAAAAGCATTCCAAGATCACCAAGTCCAACCTGTGTCGCCAAGTCCAGCCTGTGACTGATCCCCACCTTGTCACTCAGACCAGAGCACTGACTGCCATGTCCAGTTGTTCCTTGGACACCTTCAGGGATGGGGACTCCATCATCTTCGTGGGCAGCCCTTGTCAAGGCCTGACCACCCTTTCCAGGAAGAAATTCCCCCTGATGTCCAACCTGAACCTCCCCTGGCACAGCCTGAGGCCTTTCACCTCTCATCCTGTCCCTGTTTCCTGGGAGCCAGAGCACGGTCTCCCCCGCTGCCCCCTCCTGTCAGGGAKTTGTGCAGAGCCAGAAGGTCCCTCCTGAGTCTCCTTTTGTCCAGGTCCCTCATCCATTCCTATTAGGACTTGTGCTCTATACCTTTCACCAGCTCTGTTGCCCTTCTCTGGACTTGAGAAGATCAGATTCAGGAGTATCTGGGGAGCCTGAAGGAGCACAGGTCTGTATCACGTGATGAGATGTCTCCATGGATCCTGGTGAACTGTCAGAGGAAGTTCCTAAGATACTCTACAACATATGTGAGAAGTTGTGGCAATTTGGGGAAGTTCCCACTGACTGGAAAATGAGAAATTTGACCCCATTTTGAAAAAGAAATAAGGAAGATGTGGGGCACTACAGGCCAATCCGTCTCACACTGGTGTCTGGCATGATCATGGAGTAGATCCTTCTGGAAACTATGCTAAGGCACATGRAAAATAAGGAGGTGATTGGTGACAAACCAGTATGGCTTCTCTGAAGACAAATCATGCCTGACATTTGGTATCCTTGTATGATGGGGTGACAGTGCTGCTGGGTAAGGGCAGAGCTGGCATCATCTGCCTGGACTGGTGCAAAGTATTTGACACTGTCCAGCAGGACAGCCTTGTCTCAAAACTGGAGAGACATGGATCTAATGGGTGGAACACTCAGTGGATAAGGAATTGGCTGAATGGTGGCACTGAAARGGTTGTGGTCTGCAGCTCAATGACCAGATGGAGCCCAGTGACAAGTGCTGTCCCCAGTGGTCAGTTGGGACCGGTGCTGTCTTTGTCAGTGACATGGACAGTGGGGTTGTGGCACTCTCAGCTGGTGCTGACAGACATTCGCTGGGGTCACACACTGCAGAGGAGGGATGGAGTGTGCAGAGGCACCTGGACAGCCTGGAGAGGTGGGACCATGTGAACGTTATGAAGTTCAGCAAGGCCAAGGATGAGGGTCAGGGCAGCCCCAACCACAACTCCAGGCTGGGAGTGAATGGAACTGGACCTGGGGATGTTGGTGGATGAGAAGCCCAACAGGAGTGACTCCATCAGTGGGTGAGGGAAGGCCTACACATGTCATTTATCTGGACTTGGTAACCATTTGCCATCGTGCTCCCAAAYGTCCTTCTCTATATTGGAGAAATGGATTCAACGGGCAGACTGTCCAGTGGATAAGGAATTGGTTGGATGGCCGTATCCAGGTGGCCATGGTCAACGGCTCGGAATCCCTGTGGACATCAGTGACCAGTAGTGTCCCTCAGGAGTCTGTACTGGGACCGGTATTACTCCTTGATGACACACAAAGGGATTGAGGGCACCCTCAGCATGTTTGCAGGTGACACTGAGCTGTGGCRGCAGGGACACCCCTGCAGTTCATGCAGTGGGACCTGGACAAAC